GGGGGCAATTTTTTGGGTTCTTCAGTCTTCACGAGTTTAGGGGCAAACTTGGGTTTCGATTTGAGGCAAGAAAATGGAACCTGGAATTGGGGGTGATTCTAATTGTTCATGGATTTGTGGGCGAATTTGGGTTTTGATAAATTAGAAATCCAAAAAATTTTCATGGAAGTTACTGTGGTCGAATCTCTCGCACAAAGTGCTCAGATAACTTAGTTGAAAGGTGAAGAGATCGGTGGTAGGGAAGATGAATTTGGGCTGCTACTGTTCCCACGATTTGGCGGCTCATGGCGGTGGAAATTCCGGCTTACATTTCATTCGTCGTCCTTTGTTTTGTGGTTTTTGGTTAGTCATTTGGTGCAGACAGAGGTGGGATTTCGCCTGGGTTTGGTGTTGAATGGCAGAATTTGTGAGCCCATGCCGACTAGGCGTTCGCCTTCTGTGTTCCGACTGAGTTTTTCGATTTTCCGTCTGATTTATGTGCCACGTGGCACATTCTGTTAGTCTAGAATGATGGAGATCAGTTGGGTGATGAATGGGTAAGCAATTTGATAGATAAGTGAGCAATGAGTAATGTTTTAATGTTCGGTAAACAAGTAATAATGTACACTAAATTTACTCTCTATAACATGCTTGTGTTTTTTTAATTTCTCTTTACTTTTATATTTTTATTTTCTCCTTGAGTCCTCCATCCTCAACCTGCCCTGGATCATGAAGAAGCCCATTAACGAGGATAACAAAATCAAATACTCCCCTTTACCCTAAAGAAAGATGTTCATTTGCTCCCTTCTCTCTCTCTAAAATCCTCTTTCTCTCTCTCTCTAAAACCTCCATCTGTCATCACATTTTGTAGGTTCATATATTGGAAGAACTCATTATGCCAACTTGACATGCTAAAATCTATTCATAAGGAAAATCCCATTAAAAATCTACTCTTTATGTGATTTTCCAATGTCTGATGTTAAGAGTTTTGATTATGCAGAATCAAATATGTTATGTACAGAAGGACCCAAAAGTTTGTGCTTTGACGATGATGATCTTGTCGATGGCCAAAGCTGTGAAATCAAGAATGATGAAGGCTTGAGTGTTGGAAATGGCGGATCAGATTCAGAGCCATTAATTAATTTTCCATGTTTGAGTGAAGAGAACTTTGGTTTAATGCTAGAGAGAGAAAAAGGGTTCTTGCCTAAAGATGATTATCTCAAGCGATTGAGAAATGGGGACTTGAATTTGAGTGTGAGAACAGAGGCTCTTGATTGGATTTCTAAGGTGATATAAATTACAATTTTTTTGGTTTTTTTTCTTTATTTTCATTCAATCAACTTTTTCCCCCATTTAATAAATTGATTTCACCAACTTTTCTATCATTATAATTTGTTTTGTACTAGTTTATTACATTTTTTTTATAATTCTTCGGCTAGATTGTCCTTTCTGTATTTCCTCATTCATTCCTATAGAGTTTCATGAAATGGGTTTTTTCTCTCATTAATGAGTTTTCATTAAAAAGGCTTGAATAATTGGATACTCTTTGGGTTAATGGCATTTATGAACCATTCATGTAATAGTTTCTTGGGCATTCGCATTGAAATGTAATTATCTTATATGCTTTTAAAGTTTATTGTTCTGGGGGTTAAGGAAACTGTTCTACTCTGTCTCTTAGTTGCAAATGCAGCAGAGTTCTTTATAGCTGTGAGAGAATCTTCAAATCTTGGAGGGTTCAATCATAGTGCTGCCTTAGACTAGCGCTAGTTTTTAATTCTGTCCCAACCAAAGTCGGAGGATTCAGCCTTAGGGCCTGCGTTGGGCAATTCCAATGGCGAAATATACTTATGCTTTTTAGGTTCATTGCTAGCCACAGTCACGAAGCAGCAGGATCTCAAGATTCTAGCACATTTGTACCATTGTGCACTTTTTGACATCGATGATAGCCATGTTGATTCCTAATTTCAGTCAATTGTGTTTTTGTGCTTTACAGGCTTGTGCTCACCACAGTTTTGGAGCATTGTGTTTGTGTTTGTCTATGAATTACTGCGATCGATTTCTATCAGTCTACGACCTGCCTGTAAGTTCATTATACAATCCAAATGATTTGTTTGTTTGAAATGTGAATTTGTTTTATTGATGATTATCTTTTCCTATTCTTCATCAATTTTTCCTTTGCATGAATAGCAAGGTAAACCCTGGGTTGTTCATTTGATAGCGGTTTCATGTTTATCACTAGCAGCCAAAATGGAAGAAATTGAAGTTCCTCTCTCTGTTGATTTACAGGTGAATGAGAGGTAACACAATAAGCTAACATATAGTGTCCTTTTGATACATTGATTTGATAGTGTCGGTTCGTCGAACAGGTGGGCGAACCAAAGTTCATGTTCGAAAGTAAAACTGTTCAAAGAATGGAGCTTTTTGTATTGAGCACCTTAAAGTGGAAAATGCGAGCTTATACTCCATGTAGCTTCATCGACTATTTCCTCCACAAGATCAAGAAGGATGAATTCCCACCGATGCATTTGATCCATAGATCAACTGAAGTCATCATAAGCACAATTACATGTACGTATCATCAGACCAGATTCAGAAGATTCGAAAATTTTAGTTATCTAGTCGGGACATGACTTGTGAAACCTTTCTTGAAATATTTTGTACTACTATGGTCATAAATTATTAAGCACTCGACTCATTGTTTGGCTAACACTGAATGCAGGTATTGACTTGTTGGAATTCAGGCCTTCCGAAATAGCTGCAGCAGTAGCAATGTCTGTTTCAGTACAAGCAACGGACATGGACGAGGCACTGCCAAGTTTCATGGGAGTAGACAAGGTAGTTTATATAAATCTTTCACTGCACTAAACTCAATTCAATCTCTGTAACAATTTTTCATTTTTGTGTCTTTTCTTTTGTGTGTTTTGCAGGCCAAAGTGATCAGATGCCTTAAGTTGATCCAAAATTTGACAAACATTAATGGGATTACTCCTAACGGCGTGCCCCAAAGTCCAAACAGGGTGTTGGAGGCTGCATGCTTGCGAAGTGATGGAAGAACAGTTGAGTCATGTCCAAATTCTTCACATAGTGGTCCAAATACTGAAAGAACAAAACTGGACAAAACACCAATCGAAGAGGACTTGAAGTCGTGAAATGTGAATATTTGCTGTCAAAAATCAAATATTTGGTTGATGGGAGCTTTGGTGCGGTATACAAAAGGTGCCTCTTTGATAGGATAGCATGAGAAAATGTTGAGAGCTCTCATATTTCAAGCGTGAAAAGGAATTGTTTCTAGCTGTCTATAACCATAGTAATAGAATTTGGGAGAGGATAGACAAAGGGAGAAAGAAAGCAAAAAGGCACGGAAAAATTTAGTGCAATTCAGTATTTGTCCTATTTGTTCGCATGTATTATTTTTCATTAATTTAGAAAAATGACTTATCTTTTTTCATGGATTATGTGTATTTTGTTAGTGTGGGAACACACTTGTACGTAAACGTGTACGTAGATTCAACAGTCAGTGAAAAAATTGTTGACTTGTGAAATCATTGGGTGGCTTTTCGTCATATTTTTATTGTGCTATCGTTGAAATATTCGCAAAACAAACTCAATTTGTTTAATTGACTCTGATGATCAAGTTAGTTTTTATTTATTTCTATGAAAGAAAATTAAGTGGAACAGCAGCTTAAATTGTCTCGAACATGGATGGAATGACCTTGGGGTTGGGACTTTGTCGACCATTCAAAGTAGTTTGCATACTTTGCTAGCTCGGCCTTCTAGGGTCGATCTCTGTGTGGACGACACAATCCACCTTATGAAGTCAATCTTTTAGAATGCCCTTGTTGTAGGAATGTCGAAGAGTCAAGTCAAACCGGCTCGCGAGTCGAAACTTGAAGCTTATGCTCGGCTCAAATAAAAATAATTCAGATTTTTTTTGCCTGAGTTGAGCTTAGCTTTTACTCAGCCAAAAAATCGAGGCTTGACCTGAACTTTCGACTTAAACTTTATCGAGCCGAGCTGGTTCACTTTTTTTTTTTTTTTTTTAATAAAACACAGACAGCGATCGTTGTCTTTTACAATTCTTATTTATTTTTTTTTTTTTAAATAAGACACGAGCAGCTAAGCAGCTTCATTTTTTATCCTCTCTCTCTTTTTAACTATCGGCTCGTCATGGACCGAATATGGCTCCTAACACGAGCCGACCCTTGTGGCTCGTCAAGTCATACAAGCTAGCTCGGGCCGAAACCCTAATATGGGGCTCAACCCAGACCTCGAGAGGGGCCAGCTCGGACTTTTTCTCATTCGAGCCATCGACGATTCTAGTTGGAGAGCCAAATTGATACCCCTACTTGGTCGGCTTCTTGTGTTTGACTACAAGAGTGCCTAATCTTTGGCCAAGTTATTATTTCGTCTCCAACAATGACTTATCACTTTAAACCTCATTTCGTGTTATGTCGGATATAAAATTAGTCTTCAACCGGTGAAAAGTGGATCATATGATAAGCACCGTCGAAAAAGATAGTGTAAAGTTTGATCCAATTTCCAAACGGGTACTAACATTGACAACGTGCTTATATTTCTTCAATCATCATTTGGTCAATGATAACTTGTCATGCTATAATTTAGCATGCGGGCCGGGAGTAATGGGCCCATGAGAGGCCCACTTCCCTTTAATTTTGACTGGTCAAAATCTACAATCAGGTGTGGGGAACCAAGATTGATGTTGGAATGTGTCATGCGAAAAAATTGCACTGTTAGTCCTTAATCCATATTAATATTAGCAACTTAATCACAAATAATATTCATAAAATCGACTTCAAATTAATGTCGAGCTAATATTCTGCGCTTTTCTTTTTACTCATTTCTCTATTGAAAATCTCATAGTTTGTACAAAATATTTTTGTAGCGTGTCAAATAACTAGAAATGTTTAAATTAGTAAACAAAAAAATGTTTTTGGGAAAGAACAATGAAACAAATAACTAGAAAGAGTTGAGTGGATTAAGTTAGTATAAATTTAAATATATTATCTTAAGATTTTACTACTTAAAATCAACAGTTCAATGTAGACCTTGGATAATAATTCGTCAACTCATATAGAATATTTGAGTCATTTTATTGGCCAGGTTTAGCCCTTGTACGAGGTCCATTATTTGAAAAAAAATTGATTTTGGAATAGTGCTTTTTGGAGAATATGTTGTAAAAAATAAAGAAAACTTTTGACTTTACGAGTAATATTATTTTATTGAGAAAATGTGTGATTTATAAGAGGAGAAAAAAATGAAATAAAATTTAATGGGGCAAAACAGGTGTTTAGTGAATTTATTATCATATTTTTATAATATTACTTGTTTTATTATTATTTTACTATTGAAATAAATAACTTTAAAAAAAATTACTTTCTATAATTATTCCATAACTCCTTCGAACTCAATTATCAATAACAAATTGTTCTTAAATTACGATGACCACTAACATGTCAGTAGAATAATCATTTTGAAACAGATTGAAATTATTGACTGTAGCAATTATAAGCTACAGACAAATAATAGATGTTGAAATTTTTTATAAACTTTAAATTTTATAAAATTAGAAACTTTAGAACTTGAAAACCTAAATTTCTTTATTGCCAAGATCCTCCATGTCAAATCACCAAAAAAATTAATAATGCAGAATATACATTAATTCTTTGAAAATGATTCTTTATTATTGGATCTTGATTCCGAATCTTAAATCTTGATATTTAAACTGCAATATTTTCATATTTGGCATCTTCATTTTTAATCTTGAAATTTGCATTCTTTGATTTTTTTTTTTTAATTATTGTTTATTGTTTTGTTTCTTGATTCATAGTCTTGATTCTTGATTGTGGGTATTGGATCTTCCTTTTTTCTCTTGTATTCTTGTGTTGATGAGATAACACAAAAAATGAGAAGTTACATACGAACTGAGAACCATAACTCTCTATATAGTTTCTATATGTATTTCGTCCATCATAAAATATAACTCTAAATGAATTTAGTCTCTACATATATAACCAGTCACACTTTATTTAAATGACATAAACACAACTGTTGTGTGTTGTCATACTTGACCAACCTACCTGGGCCAATGGCCCACTCAGGGCGAACCACGTGGTCCTCCAGCCGAAGTGTCATAGATCACCGAGGTGGACTATGGCCGAAGCCCTTCAAGTCGAGGTCCACTAGCCGAGGCCCCCCTTTTACCGAGGCCTGTGAATGTACCCGAGGTCGACATGCCGAGGCCAATAACCCGAAGCCATGATGCTGAAACGGGTTGAAGATAGTTGAAGCCCTCAAGTGGAAGTATCGTATGAAATGGCCGACGCCCCGAAACTGATGCAGGAGCCCTCAAACCATAAGGGGGCATCCTCCATGGTCACTTCTCCCAAGAGATCGCCTACACAAAGATCTTATTCGAATGATTGATGGAACGTTTATCATAAGCATAAAGGTCAAGTCTTGTCACTAGTATGGAGGCTCTGCACAAGTAATAAATGCGCAGCAAGCTAGCAAGTCAAGCCCCATACCTAGGACAAGATGTTTGAATCAAAGAGATGAGGCCACGTGCCACCTCATCCAAGGGCTCCCATTTCACATGTATCACTATAAATACTTTCCTTGTGTAACATCAAAAGGCTAATGCAAGAATCAATACAAAGAACTACACTTTACTCAACTCTTTCTCATTTACTTGCCATACACAAATCGAGTTTATACACATTTACATATACATCTACGAACACCGGTTGGTAATTATTGTACAATCGGATCACGAACAACTCGTCGAATTCCGAACGTCACCGTCCCGCATCGTTGGGCTACTCCCACGACCTTAGTATCGCTCGTTGTAGACCGTCCACGTGTCATAGCGTGTTGGACATTCACCCACGTGTGCGCGGGTGGGACCGGCATCTGTTGGCAACACATTTTGAGGTCAACAGATTGGCGCCGTCTGTGGGAATCCATACCATAACTACGAGCAATCTTGTGGCAAAAGCTTGCTGAAAAGACATTTGGGCAACCCCCCTTGAAAAAGGATTTGTTCTTGGAAAAGAACAGGAGGAAGCCCCATTATTTAGTGAAATCTGAAATCTGACAAAAGAAAATGAGCTCCAATGAAGATACTCCCCCCAGGAGGGTAAGAAAAAACACGAACGTGCCTCCTCAGCCCGCTGCCCCAACAGCTCGGTAGAGACTCTACCACCACCAAAGAAGAGGTGGAATGCGTGCGACGGCAAGATTATCAAGAGAAATGGCCGCCATGGCAGCCAACATAAGGGATATTGCTAGCCAAAATTTGGCTATGAGAGAGCTTATGGCCCAAATGCAGGGCCAGGGAGGTTTCCCCATTCCTCCATATGCCCCCTAAGGGCACTACCAACAAGAGGATGAAGTCCAAAGTCATAGAGCTGCTACGCCGGACTATGGCCGAGGTGGAAACCCATTTGAAAGGGAAGTGGAAGTTGATGTTTCCTCCAACTACGCTTCTCGCCGACCCACCGAGGTCCAAATGAGCCGTGATAATTTCTCACCTCCGTATGAACAAGATCCAAGACATAGGAGGGCAGGAAATGTTTTTGACAAAATCAGCCCCGCCGAACCCAGGCTAAGACAACAGCAGGCTCAACAGCCTTAGACAAGGCCGCCCCCTCCACTTACAATGCCCCAGCAGGCGGAAAGAAGGCAAGAAAATGCCCCCCGTGTTGCTCCGCCTAGAAATAGGCGGCAGAGGAGGGAGGAAGAGGCTAGGGATCTCCCCGGAACCTCTCACCAACAACCGAGGCATGAGGCTAATGAGTACGACTCTGATGAACAGCAGAGGTTCTGCGACTTGGACGATGACGATGAGAACCTACCATTCTCAAGGGAACTAAGGAATGCCCAGGTCCCGATCCACTATGTTATGCCAAAAATACCAAAGTATGACGGAAGAGGCGACCCGGAGAAGCATCTGAATGCTTATAAAACTCACATGAGCCTATGGGACGCCAACCCAGCCGTGAAGTGCGGAGCCTTCCATTTAATACTTAATGGAGCGGCTGAAATTTGGTATAGCAGATTGCCATCTGGGAGCATTAGATGCTGGCCCGAGTTCAAGACAACATTCTTGGACATGTTCGCAGTGAGCAAAGAAGGAGAAGCCCCCATCCAATGTCTCCAGGACATGAGGCAAGCACATGGGGAGTCCCTAAAGAGCTTCTTATCATGCTTCACCGATGAGATGACGTACTGCGTACAAGTCAGCGACCGAGAGGCACTATCCGCACTAAGGGAAGGTCTCAACATGAATACCTTATTCTGGAGAGTTTGCAGAATCAAGATCCCACCACCTATGACGCCCTACTCGAAATGATGAGAAGGGAGAATGAATTGATTGAGCATAGGAACAGGGCAAATAGAGGCCTCCCGCCTCCTCAAAGACAGCGCGGTAGAGGCCCGACCTCCCACCTGATGGGCTGCTAGATGAACCAGGCCGGGAATGAGAACTCTGGTCAAGTACTTGCCACCACCACTTTGAATGCGGTTCCCACCTTGGCTTATGAAGAT